ACTTCATGTATAGTATCATAACCACAAATTCAATAGTAATTTAAGCAAACACAACCAACATATATATAATTGAAAATTTTACATCACTTGTATGAATTACATGTTTCAAAATCAATTACAATATGTTGACAAAATATGGAAAGTTTGACGCCTTAACGTCCCATCCTCAAAAGCACTTGATTTCCTGTTTAGTGATTTCCTGAGAATACAAGTTGTTTGAAAAGTGTCAACACAAAGGTTGGTGAGTTCATAAATTCTTGTTATGAAACTTAGTAGAAGTCTTTCTCATGTAAATGTCGCGTTTGTTTCAGAAAAATCTGATATTTTCCTTAAAATCCGTATAATGTAGCCTTATGACCAAAGACCAAAATGTATAAGAAATAATTGTTACTTAGTAGAAATGTCATGAGTTTGAATTTATATATAAAAAAAAAAATTTAAATCAACCTAAAACCTACTTAGGTTTTATGAAATCCCGTAAACTTTATGAATTGTTATTTCCCTACGTGAGTCGCTATAATCATACTATGACTATGTGAACCTGCCACGACGTTTCTCAGGCGTCGCGAAAATGAAATGACATTTGTCACCCGTAGACCTGCAGGTCCTACTGTAGCTAGCAGCAAGGTGTGGGGTGTCAAACCCAATATAGATCTATATATAAGTATCATGTTCCCCCTCCAGGAGACTCTGATTATAACTACCAGGAATTATAATTCCGCACTTGGACGTACGGATAGAGAGAATGTCTCACAATTTAGGGTAAGAAGTTTACGTATAATGTGTGTGAGTGTAAAACTTTTCTGTATGAATGCATTCTTTTAGTACGAGTGTGTTATGCAATATATCATAAACTATACCTATTATAGTTTATCTAAAACGTTTGTAATATGTAAGAACTCTTTTATGGAAATGTATTAGTGTTATGAATTTATTAAACTATACTTTTATAGTTTAATATACGTGTTCTAGAATGAATGATTAATATTTATTATGAATGACTTAGTTTCAGTTCATGATGATAAACTAACAAGGAAACACATTCAATAATTAGAACTTATGATTATGCACTTTGCTCAACATAATACAAAGTGTTATGATATTTACATGCTGTTGGCTAACTATAGCCATTCTGCCCTGTTTTGGAAAAATCATAGAAAAATCATACGAAGTCTAAAACTAGATCCGTAAATTCTGAGAGTTCAAAAAATGTGTCTAGTTTAGTCATAATTTTTATCACGATTTTTAATGACCTCCAACTTGGGTGAAAAAGTCCATAATCACAAATTGGTCCGGATTGTTGTTTGAAATGATAGGCAGTTTTGTAAAAATCACCATAAATTGTAGAAAAATCGTATGGAGATTTGCAAGTAGTCATTGTAAAGCTAAGAACTTGATCTATTTTCACCTTGTACAGTTTTGAAAACAAAAATGTTTAAGATGCCCAAAACAGTCCGTGAATGGAGTTGAACTTTTCTGATGAAGGCTGTTAGAAAAAAATTTAGCTACGTTCTTGGTGTTTTAACTTGTATCCCCCCATAAAAACTTGAGAAAACATGAAAATGTAGGGGTATGAACTCACCTTGAGTGATTTCAGTAGATGATTGTTGAAGAATGGAGGTGTTTAACTCAAGAACACTTGGAGATGCCTTGAAGAATTTCGAGAATCTAACATCATAGATATGGAGTTTGTGTAAGAAATCAATGATTTGAGTAGAATGAAGTGAAATAATCATAAGGAGGATGAATTATACTTACTAAGAGTGGAAGAACACTTGAAAATCAGCCTTGAATCTCGAAATTTGTGGAGAAAAAGCTTGAGAGAAAAGTGGTGCTTGATACTTAGTGAAATGAGAGCAAATGAGAGAAATGAGGAGAGATGGTGTTTTGTTCCAGCTCTAAAAAACGTGGGAATGAGTAGAAATTGAGTGTAAGGGATATTGAAGTGACCTAGGTAAGGTGGGGAGGTGTGGCTGGTCATAGAGTGGGTGTGGGAGTGGTTGCTTGTGTCATAAGGTAAAGCAAAGTCAACACTCCATCTCTTTGTACTTTACCCACTAACTTTTATTATTTAAATAAAGATTTTTATGAAAATATGATTAAATTGTGAATATTTAGAGTTTATTATGTTAAAATATGATTTTGGGTGAGAATCCCACGTTAAAATAATTAAAAATGGGCCTTAAACGCAAAACTACGCGAAAATCGGGAAGAAAAGCATTCCCAGCGAGACCTCTCGGTCCCTAGGCCGAGGTTCGGTCCTTGCTGGGGGCTGTAGCTGAAAACGAAACGAACAGAGGGAAACGAAAGGGGGCGAGGAAGCGAAGGGAGGCGAACCGGAAGCAAGAGGCGAAGGCGAGGGGGTTCGGTCCGGAGATAAGAGGCGAGCGTGTCCGACCGAAATGAGCCGAATGAACAGTGGTGAACAGTGCCTTCGGGTTCGGGTGGTGGGGGAGGTTCGGCTCCTCCTGGCTCGGGTTCGGTTCTTCCTTGCTCGGGTTCGGTTCCTCCTTGCTCTCGGGTTCGGCCCTTCTTGCTCTCGGTCCCTAAGAGGACCTTCGGGTCCTAAGAGGCTTCTCTTCTTATAATGAGGTTTCGGTTCCTAAGGTCCATTTTTCTCGTTTTTACCATGTTTTAAGCTGTTGACCCGGTTAAGGGTCGGAATGACTCGAATGACTCTAAAAAGTTACGGGAAACTTTTGAGAGAGATTTGGGAGAGATTTAACATTCTTGGAGAGATTTATCATACAAAGACATATTTGAGAGATATTTCACATGTTTGGAGAGATTTCTCACACGAAGAGATATTTGGGAGAGATTTGACATTCTTAGAGAGATTTGGGAGAGATTTGACATTCTTAGAGAGATTTGGGAGAGATTTGACACACTTGGAGAGATCTTTCATACAAAGAGATATTTGAGAGATATTTCACATGCTTGGAGACATTTCTCATACGAAGAGATATTTGGGAGAGATTTGACATTCATAGAGAGATTTGGGAGAGATTTGACATTCTTAGAGAGATTTGGGAGAGATTTAACATTCTTGGAGAGATTTCTCATACAAAGGGATATTTGGGAGAGCTTCTTGATAAGAAGAGATAGAGTGGAAACAATTGAGAGAGGTTTCATGTGTGACAAATGTGAGTGTCCGGCTTCGCAATGCAAGGTTTGTAAACCCTGTTAATCCTTGTTTAAGGATCTTACACACCCCCGATGAGTATGCAACATGGTTTTATCAGTTTAGTTCATTGATTTGCACTAAGGCTCAGGAAATTTTAACACAAGATTTTTCCCAAGTGATGTTTTCCCATTAATATATAGCAAGTTATACAGTATGAACATAACACAAACCCTAATACACAAGGTTTAATCGAGTTGACCGGTTTGACTTGATGACTCGACTTGACTCAAGATTGACGATTGTCACATTCAGCCCAATACTCCTAGCATGCTGCAAGAGCTTAACCCTACTCAGTCCCTTCGTAAGGGGATCTGTTGGGTTCTTGATATGTCTATTTATATATATATTTTTATGCATTATATCTTAATATTTTGGCCTTTATTATTCTCTTTTAGAACTAAAAAGCACTCATCATGCTTTGAATTATGTTTTGCAGCTATTCGTTGTCGATAAAGCACAAAAGAAAAGACTGAAGCGGAAACCGGGCTTAGAAGCTAAAAGAAATTAAAAATGCTGGATTAGACCAATTACACCCCACGTAATTCACATTTACGCCCCGCGTAACGACCAAAATCATATTACTCCAACGTAATATTGGATTACGCCCCGCGTAATGGTTGGCAATGGATAGACTCAATTGCGTAATAAATTGACTTATGCTCAGCGTAATCCGACTTACGCCCAGCGTACGTAAGTCGGCTACAAAGGTTATAAAAGTCAATTTTCAGCTAACCAGAAGGGGGGATTCGACTTCCAACTTAATTTAGTCGATATTAAACTTCTGTTAAGCCGTTTTGAGGGTCTAGAAGGCGGCCAGAAGGCCGTTAAGCTAACGGGATTGGAGATCGGAAGGGTTGGAGAGCGGATACGTGTCGGTAATCATATGGGTTGCTAACGTGACCATGTTTAGCATTCCATTGTGTTACTATTCTGTATTTAGTTTCTGATTTGGGTGTAAAAACCTTTTACTTTGTGTTTATGATTGAATGAAGCTTTGATTATTAGACTAATTGCTATATTGAATTGTTTCTTTATGTTTAATTTATCTTGAAAGCTTGTTAAAAGATCCTTACGTATTAATGATGATTATTTGCTGTTAATTGTTAAGTGAATTGAGTTGCATGAATATCTGCTTGATTGCTTGTCTCTTTTGATTTTGATGACCATCGAGGTTATAAGTTTAGGAATAACGAATGTGAAACTAGGATTAACTTGAGAATAAGTAAGTTAACGTGTGAGCCTTCTTTGATGACCATCAACAAGAGGTTAATTGAATGTCTAATTTGATTAACTATATTTGCAAGTCTTGCTTGATACGAATTGAACAATAGGAAGCATGTTAGTTTAACCAACTGATCACTGTTTGAATTGACTTGTTTGCTAAAGGATTAGTTATAGTGAACGCGAATCTAATCATTTTAGGAATCGGTGAACATGAATAAATGAATTTGTGTATGCAATTGTCTATGTTTTTAAGGTGTAATTTATCTAAACCAAAGTACCTGAAGAGATTTGCTTTCCTGTTAGTTTATCGAGAGTTGTTAATTAATTGTTAGTTTGAGATTTATTAAACTATTTCTTTAATTCTTTTCATGTGACCTGTAACCGATAATCAAATATTTTAAATAATTCACCACCGTTCCCTGTGATCGACACCCGACTTACCTAAGCTATACTGTAATCTGACTAGGTACACTGCCTATAAGTGCATAGTTAGTCTAAGTTTGTTAGGATATAAATATTAAAATTAGTAGGTACTTTTGTTAATGCTGCTATATTTTGTTTTGTTTTGTGTTTGTGTTAATATGTGCAGATTATGGCCCGAAGAACTCAAAGGACCAACCCACCCGAGGACGTGACCGATCATCGTTTCTTACAATTTCCGCAAACTCTGAACGATGCAACCCAAGCACGATATGTCACCAACTTGAGCTTGCTTCTCACCAAGGAGATCGATATAGCACCATCATTCGATTGGGAATTGGCTACCCGGACTGGACTAGCTGCATTGATCCAGGAATTTTTGCAATACACGCAGTCGGATGCGAGTGGTGTGGACTTGTTCATGTGTCAGGGATAGGCACATTTGCTCAGAATCCAGGAGCCTGTTTATCAGGAATTTTTGCTGGATTTTTACGCTACAGTTTCCTATGATCCTAGGAAGGCACCCAATGAAAGGACAACCTTTGCCTTCAGACTGGGGGGAGTGAGCCGGGAATGCAGCGTGATAGAGCTTGCGACTCGAGTGGGTATTTACACAGCCGATGAGACGAGGAGTGTCCACTTCCCGACATTCCTTGCTGATTGTCTCACGGACCGGTCAGAAGACTATAACGAGAACACTTTTTGGGCCGAGATTACGGGAGGAGTTTATACACCATCTACCGCACGAGGGAGGATGATTCGGTCTACTACATACCGAATGCTGCACCGGTTGATTTCTATGTCTCTCACGCATCACAAGAACAGTGAGAGAGTGCCTTCAACAGACTTGTATTTCCTATGGGCACTTGTTACTCCAGGGAGGCACCTGAACCTTCCAGTTGCTTTAGCTGCATATTTGGGATGGAGAGCCAGGGGACTTCGGGAGGATAGCCCGATTTGCGGAGGGCATTTTATCACACGATTAGCCCGGTCATATCAGTTGCTGACGCGTGAGATCACGAGATCGATGGTGTTCCACGATATGAGGCCGATGAGCCTTCAGTTGTTAGAGTCGATGCGTGTATTAGAGCGGGGCGGAGATAGTGTCTTGCGGGTACGACCAGATGATGTGGCGGATGAGGAGGGTGCAGCCGAGCCACAACCGAGACGAGTCCAGCGGCGTAGACCTGCTCCTCGGGGAGCGCAGCAGGGACCTGAGCTGGAGATTGATATGCGCTACCTAGCTCAGGGTATTGACCGTCTTGACATGAGGGTTCAGAACCTTACTGAGTACGTTGCACATGTGGACAGGCAACAACAGTGGTATGGGGATGCGTTGAATGCATTCTTTCCCCACCAGGGGTTTCAGTACTCGGTTCCCTATCCTCCACCATTCCAGTCACGATATGATGGGGCCGATACTTCTGGGACACAGCAACATGATGACGGAGATGATGAGTGATTTAGTTATCCTTTTTATTTTTATTTTTTTGTGTTATTTTTAGTTTAGTTTAGTATTTTTATGCAATTAAACTTTAATTTAGTTTTGTTTTACTTTTGTTTTCCATGTTAATGCTCTTTGGTTGTTTAGATCTCTACATAATTTTTTCTCTTAGAAAGCTAGCAGTAAGTTCAGCAGCTAGGTCCGACTGTTGCTAGAGAGAGCCGTGTGGGAGTTCGAAGAGTATATTCAAGATCCACAATTTGTCATAAGTGTGGGGTGCATATTGATTTGAGTTTTATTTCGATGCAAGGAAGAAGTATCATCCCGGCTGCCACGACATGGTTGACACTTTCCTATGTTGTGGAGGATTTTTCATCGCGAGAAGAGGATGTCATTCTTGACGAGATGACGCGGTCAACATTTTCCCACATCATGGTTATTATACATTGCATTTGTTTGCAATCTCTTGCACCACATTTTTGAAGTCAGCAGTCTTGATTTTATTTTTCGGCAAATTCAAAAGCAGCGGTTCTAGTTCCAGTCTTTCAGCAATATTTGAAGCAACTTGTAGCAACCCCATTCGATCTCGCCACAACTACCCAGGGGAGTCTGTTCCTTTTTCTCCCTTTTTATGTTCTTAATTTGTTTTAACATACCATGAGGGCATTGTATGAAATAAGTGTGGGGTAGGGGGTCAGTAAAAGTAAATTATAAAAATGAAATAATAGTTTGGAAATTGCTAGATTAGGGAAATTTAAAAATTTTAAAAACAAAACTTGAAATAATAGTTTAATTTAGAAAAATCTAGTGATAATTTAAAATTTTTGCTAATATTGTATGAGATGATCCGAGGAGAACTCAAATGTTTAGTTGAGCCAATACACGTTATAGTGCATTTGTGGCCTCCCTTATTTTAGTGAAATCATGGAACAAAAACATAACCCCGCTTGGTTTGAGGGATGCAATATGTTTAACAGCCTAAACCTAAAATGTATCCAGGAAAATTATTATCATTAACCAATAAAGGTTGAGGTTGAGCGCCTCTGCTTAAGCATGTAGGTTTTGAGTGAAAATAGTGAGGTACATGTAAAAAAAAGAGAGAGAGAGAATTGCAAGAAAAGTTTGAAGAAATTTGGAGCAAATAAAGTGAAGATCAAAAGATCAAAATTCCAAGAAATTCAAAAATTGAAGATACCAAGAAATCAAATCATATAAGGTTGTGAATTCAAAGAAATCAAATATCAAATTATCAAGAAAGTGAAGAATTCCTAAAAAGCTCCATAGTGGTATCATAAATTCTAGATTATGTATGCTTAAGAATTCCTAAAAAGCTCCATAGTGGTATCATAAATTCTAGATTATGTATGCTTAGGTTGCTCAACTAAAAATACCTTGAGGTTAGGAGGTTTTCTGTGGATGGATTCGGAGGGTTGCATAAAATGAGCATTGTTCGGAAAAAGTGGGCGAGTGTTTATGAAGATTGTGAGTATTTAAAGTATGGGGGTGCTTTAGGAAAATTTTAGACACAAATGCGTGCATTGCGGTCTTGACATAATGGCTGAGTTTTAAATGGACTGTTTAGTGCGATATTGGTAAAATAAAAGTAAATTTGCTTGGGGGCAAGCAAAGGCTAAGTGTGGGGTATTTTGATATGTGTGTGTGTGTATATATATATATATATATATATATATATATATATGCATTATATCTTAATATTTTGGCCTTTATTATTCTCTTTTAGAACTAAAAAGCACTCATAATGCTTTGCATTATGTTTTGCAGCTATTTGTTGTCGATAAAGCACAAATGAAAAGACTGAAGCGGAAACCAGTCTTAGAAGCTAAAAGAAATTAAAAATGCTAGATTAGACCAATTACGCCCTGCGTAATTCACATTTACGCCCCGCGTAACGACCAAAATCATATTACGCCCAGCGTAATATTGGATTACGCCCCGCGTAATGGTTGGCAATGGATAGATTCAATCGCGTAATAAATTGACTTACGCTCAGTGTAATCCGACTTACGCCCAACGTACGTAAGTCAGCTACAAAGGTTATAAAAGTCGATTTTCAGCTAACCAGAAGGGGGGATTCGACTTCCAACTTAATTTAGTCGATATTAAACTTATGTTAAGCCGTTTTGAGGGTCAAGAAAGCGGATGAAAGGCCGTTAAGCTAACGGGAGCGGAGATCGGAAGGGTTGGAGAGCGGATACGTGTCGGTAATCATATGGGTTGCTAACGTGACCATGTTTAGCATTCCATTGTGTTACTATTCTGTATTTAGTTTCTGATTTGGGTGTAAAAACCTTTTACTTTGTGTTTATGATTGAATGAAGCTTTGATTATTAGACTAATTGCTATATTGAATTGTTTCTTTATGTTTAATTTATCTTGCAAGCTTGTTAAAAGATCCTTACGTATTAATGATGATTATTTGCTGTTAATTGTTAAGTGAATTGAGTTGCATGAACATCTGCTTGATTGCTTGTCTCTTATGATTTTGATGACCATCGAGGTTATAAGTCTACGAATAACGAATGTGAAACTAGGATTAACTTGAGAATAAGTAAGTTAATGTGTGAGCCTTCTTTGATGGCCATCAACAAGAGGTTAATTGAATGTCTAATTTGATTAACTATATTTGCAAGTCTTGCTTGATACGAATTGAACAATAGGAAGCATGTTAGTTTAACCAACTGATCACTGTTTGAATTGACTTGTTTGCTAAAGGATTAGTTATAGTGAACGCGAATCTAATCATTTTAGGAATCGGCGAACATGAATAAATGAATTTGTGTATGCAATTGTATATGTTTTTAAGGTGTAATTTATCTAAACCAAAGTACCTGAAGAGATTTGCTTTCCTGTTAGTTTATCGAGAGTTGTTAATTAATTGTTAGTTTGAGATTTATTAAACTATTTCTTTAATTCTTTTCATGTGACCTGTAACCGATAATCAAATATTTTAAATTAATTCACCACCGTTCCCTGTGATCGATACCCGACTTACCTAAGCTATACTGTAATCTGACTAGGTACACTGCCTATAAGTGCATAGTTAGTCTAAGTTTGTTAGGATATAAATATTAAAATTAGTGGGTACTTTTGTGCACATCAGTTCTCCTTTGATGATACCCTCTTTACTACGAGGAGTCCCTTTTCTACCCGATGTCTGATGAAGTGGTATTTTCTATCGATATGTATGGATCTACCATGATCCCTCAGTTCATTGGTTAAGGCGACCGCACCCTCGTTATCACAGAAAATTTCCATAGGCTCCTTTATGACAGGTACAACTCCAAGATCTCCAATGAAGTTCTTTAGACATATTGCCTCTTTCGACGCTTTGCTCACTGCTATGTACTCTGATTCACACGTTGAAGAAACTATGGTCTCCTGCTTGGAACTTTTCCAAGTTACTGCTCCTCCATTTAGGGTAAATACCCATCCCGACTGAGAGTAGAAATTATCTCGATCGGTTTGAAAACAAGCGTCACTATACCCTCGCACTCTCAAGTCATCACCCCTACCAAGGATAAGAACCCAGTCCTTAGTCCTCTGCAGGTACTTAAGAATGTTCTTTACTGCAATCCAGTGAGCTCTACTAGGATTCCCTTGATATCGACTAACTATGCTCAAAGCAAAAGCCACATCAGGGAGCGTACACATCATAGCATACATGATTGAGCCAATGATGGAAGCATATGGTATTCGAATCATTTCTACCATTTTGGCATTAGTATTCAGACTCTGAGTCTTACTCAGTCTGGTATTGCTCTGGATAGGCAATTCTCCTTTCTTGGAATTCTCGATGTTGAAACTTTTCAACACCTTGTGCAAGTAGGTGCTTTGACTAAGTCCTATTAGTCTTTTACTCCTATTTCTCAATATCCTTATCCCTAGAATATAAGCAGCCTCTCCGAGGTCCTTCATAGTGAAACACTTCCCAAATAAGGACTTAACCTCCTGTAAGGTTGAGACGTCATTTCCTATGAGTAGTATGTCATCCACATACAATACCAAGAAACTAACTATACTCCCACTAGCTTTGAAATATACACATGACTCATCCTCGCTTTTCAAAAAACCAAACTCTTTGACTTTCTCATCAAAACAAAGATTCCATCTACGAGACACTTGCTTCAATCCGTATATGGATTTCTCAAGCTTACACACTCTATTAAGGTACTTCGCATCTACAAAACCCTCTGGCTGACTAATGTAAATATCCTCAGCCAACTTCCCATTAAGGAAAGCGATTTTTGACATCCATCTACCATATTTCATAATCATGAAACGGAGCTATGGCTAGCATAACCCTTATAGACTTGATCTTCGCTATTGGTGAGAAGGTCACGTCATAATCAACTCCAGGAATTTGAGCAAAGCCCTTCGCAACCAATCACGCCTTATAAGTGTGTACTTTCCCATCCATGTTGAACTTCTTCTTGAAGATCCGTTTGTACCCGACCGTCTTACGACATGGTACATTGTCAACCATGTTCCAAACTTGATTGTCATCCATGGAATGAATCTCGCTGTCCATCGCCTCTTTCCACTTTGCAGACTCTTGGCCCGTGATGGCTTCCTTGTAGTTGTTAGGTTCATCCATATTATATTAGTGTCCTATCACTAATAAACGTATCACCTTCAGTACTAATATGGAACCATAAAAATCAGGTGGAACGCTAACTCTACTGGAACTTCTCAGAGGTAAGGACTCGTCAATCGGTTCAATAGGAATTTCCTGCTCGGGTTAAGCGCTAGTGTTTGAGGTTCCTTCATCACTTGATTCTTGAAGCTCTTCAAGTTCAATTTGCCTCCCACTGTTCTTTTGGCATATGATTTCTTTCTCTCGGAAAACTCCTCTCCTCACAACGAAGGCAACTTTGTCACTCGTCTATAGTAGAGATATCCAAAGGACTTCTGTGGGTAGCCAATGAAAATACAAGTATACAACGCTCACTACAAGGTTTGAGCTTGTCTTGAGTCTCTCGTCTTACGAAACCCTCGCAACCCCAAACCTTGATATGTCTCAACGAGGGAGCCTTCCCTATCCACATCTCGTGAGGAGTTTTGGCAAACTTCTTAGTTAGGATTAGATTAAGGATATGGGCGACAATATCTAAGGCATACTCCCAAATTGAGATATGTAACGAAGCTCGAATCATCATGGAGCGAACCATGCCCAACAAAGTTCGATTGTGCCTCTAAGCTACACCATTCAGCTGCGGTGTCCTAGGCGGCATCAATTGTGAAACAATTCTGCATTCTTTAAGATAGTCGTGGAACTCGATACTAAGATACTCACCACCTCGATTGGACCAGAGCATCTTTATCTTCCCACCCAATTGATTCTCCACTTCTTGCTTAAACTCTTTGAACTTTTCAAAAGTTTATGACTTATGCTTGATTAAGTGGATATACCCATATCTGCTATAATCATCGGTAAAAGTCACATAGAAGTGGTTTGCATCCCT